ACCCACCTGCTCAGTTCACATCGTACCCACCTGATGATGGCTTCACTCTAAATCAGGAAAATAATACCAAAACCTCAGAGAACAGATCCTCTACTGAGGTCATCTCTCTCCTTTTAAATAATAATATTAACAACAATAAAAACATTATTCATATAAGAATTTAAGACTTACTTTTACCCATGTTGTATTTTTACTTGTTACTAGTAACTTGCCTACAGACAATTAACCATTCCCGATGAGGCAAATAGCACAGACATTTTTAAGATAAGTTCATTTGTAAGACACATAAACAGCCCAAGTTCAATTCAATTCAATTCAATTCAAAAATACTTTATTAATCCCAGAGGGAAATTATTTATTGTTGTAACTCGTTATCCTCATTTCATTAAGAGATTTTATAGATGCTGATGGCTGTAGGCAGGAAGGATCTCTTGTAAAGGTCCATCCCACAGTGGATCCTAAGAAACTGGCTGCAGATGCTGTCCAATCTGTCCACCCAGACTCGGCTGGCCTCTCGGTTTCCCTCGGGCTGTAGGACCGCCGAAATGCTGGGCAGAACTCCTCCTAGAGTGATGGCCGCTCCTCCCAGCAGTCTGCCGAGCTCCTCGTCGCTGCGGACAGCCAGCTGTAGGTGCCGAAAGATGATCCTGTCCTTCCGCAATCATGAGCAGTGTTTCCTGCTAGTTCCAGGATCTCAGTGGTCAGGCACTCGAGCACAGCTGGCAGGTAGATGAGAATGCGTCCACAGAACATCCTTTTCAACTCACTTGAGATTTGGGGCTGTAGTTGAGATATTATTTGAGCTTTTGAGATGTTAATCAGCTGCTGTTGGTTGTAGAAAACTGCCTTGTTGCCATGGTTACGCATCATAACAAATGTCCAAAACTAAAAAAGTTTCAGTAAAAATCCTTCCAGCTGCACAACATCTGATACCAGAGGAAACAATCATCCAAAAAAATTGTGATTTACATCCAGAAAAAGAGGAATTAAAGTTTCCAAAAGCAAATTCTCAAAATGAAAGTAACAGAGCTGCTCCAACATGCAGCCACCCGGAGCGGCGCAATTCTAGAACACTAAGTTAAAATGTTAAATGTGTTAAATGTGTCCACTAAGTTAAATGTGACATTCTTAAATAAAACAAAGACACTAAACTGAAATCAGCATCTGGCAGTCACAACAGCTGCTAATAGGTTTTAATGAATATTTACAGTTTTGATGCTTTGACACACAAATGATTATAGGTAAAGTAACTAATTACGGATTAATGTTGCATCCCCTGCTATGGCTCACAAAGATAGGAAATCAATGAGCCTTAGCCTAAAGCAAGGAATGAGATCTGTCCATCTTTTCTGTTTACACTGCACCTCTTCTTTAAACTGAGAAAACATTAGACAATGAAGAGATCTTAGACCTGTTGGCATCTAGTGGGAAAAATAGTCAAATGGATCAGGAGAGACTCTCGCTTCTGGTTTAAGGGACAAAATTGTTACATTCTACAAGAAAAGCTGAGGTGATTCAGATCACATTACCGTATTTTTCAGACTACCGTATAGGGCGCACTTAAATTACTTAAATTTTCTCAAAAATCAACAGTGAGCCTTAAAATCCAGTGCACCTTACGTATAAATTCTAGTTGTGCTTACTGACCTCAAACTGATTTTATGTGGTACAACTGAACAATGTTGAGAATTATTGTGAGTGAGTTGAATAAAGTTGGACTTATCTGACTGTTTTGTTTCGCTTAATGCGTCTTATAATACGGTGCACCTTATAATCCGAAAAATACGGTATTTTGCCAGTTCTTTGTAACCAGAGTCCACCGGGACAAAGACGAGGACTCTAATGTCTAATGTGCAGCACGATGGCTCAGTGGTTAGCACTGTTGCCTCACAGCAAGAAGGTCCAGGGTTCAATCCCCGGTTGGACCTGGGGTCTTTCTGTGTGGAGTTTTCATGTTCTTCTCGTGCTTGCGTGGGTTTTCTACGGGTACTCTGGTTTCCTCCCACAGACCAAAAACATGCATGTTAGTCTGCCTTCAGGCCCAGGCCTCCCTTGCAAAAGAGATCTCAGTGGGATCTGCCGGGTTAAATAAAGGTTAATAAAAAAATTGTCTTCTTTTTGCTGTAAACTTTACTGTTGACTTGACTTTTAGATACATAGTGCAAATATAGACTTTACCAAGAATCCCCACGGTGCAGAGTTGTTCTTTAAAGATTCAAAGAGCAGCTTCAGAGCTTTTCTCCCCATGTTTAAGCACTCCAAGTCCCCATGGAGATGTTTAATATATTGTTTCAGATCTTCGCACAGCAAGCTTGTTAGAGAGTGAAAATTACAACCGTTCAGGCGTAAAGTCGCGTCACAGTTGCAACGTTTCCAATTTGTTTCCTCAGCAAAAGCAAAAAAATAAAAAAATAGAACAAAAAAAAAATCTGCAACAACTAAATGCTTGAAATGATGCTGCCAGTGTTGTAAGTCCAGTGCAGAGCTACAGCAGAAGAGATGGAAAAGCTTCTCTGCAGTCTTCAGTTCGTCTTTGAACAAAGCTGGATCATCCTTCGGAGCCTGTGGGTTGGTTTACAGGCGCTTGCACACACATACAGTAAAGCACACACTGTGCCTGGGCGATCCAACGTGGTGACCCTTTGTTATCTGCTCCTCTCCAGCCTTGTTTGCTCAAATCATCCGGTCGGTTGTCGCTGTTTTGAAGGTGCAGCAAAACGATCCTGATCTACTATAGGCACACCTCAGAAGCGCTAAACGAAAGGATGATGAAAACAGTTTTACGTGAGAATCGTTGTCTGTTTGTGTTTATTTTTATCAGCTGCTGTGAAAGTCGAAGGAGGAGTGTGTGATGTGTTTGGGTGTCTGCTCATTACCAAAATCACATAACTCCCTGGATGGATTTTAAGGAAACTAGCAGAGAGTAACCACTGAATGTCTGACTAACTGCAGCTAACTGTTGGAGTCAATCAAATTCAAGATGGCTGACACAACCAACTGGCTTTAAAAAAACACAAAATGGCGATAACTTTGTTGCGATAATGACCTCATCATCAACACTTATTCTGAACAAAGACATTTGTTTAAACTTGTCAACAACTATCTGAACTAAACTGCCTGTTAGCAAAATATCTCATCAACCGCTGCACATATTTTAATGAACCTTTGCATAAGTAGTCATCGGTTCAATTCAGCTCAACGTGCCAACTAAATTCAATTTGGTTGCTGTCTACTCAATTAGAAAACACAAATATGGTATAACACTGTCAATTTACAAGATATTGTGCTAACATTTGGTGTAGTAGTGGTTTACAGTATTCAGCAACAGATAATCCTAATTCTTCTCATTGTGTAAAATATTTGCTCAGAACTGCAGGAGTCAACCCATTTTGTCTGATAGCAAAATATCTTCTGCACTACGGGATGAATTTTAATGAACGTTTTCGAAAGTATTAAATGTGCGTCTACAAGTCATTCCCTTTTGGAGTTAAATCAATTCCAGATGAATATCACAGCTACACAGAGGTTACTATGACTCAGTCAGTTTTACAAATATTGAGCTAAAATTTGAATAGTAGTAGCTGAGAGTGATTCGCAACAGATACGTGTGAAAACTTGCAATATCACAAGATCAAGCCTGATGTTATTTTCAAGGTTTTTTCCAAAATGCCTGCAACTCTGCCCTTTCTCATGGTTATTTAAGTCTAAAACTCTGGTCTGAAAGGTGGTGGGTGATTCTTTTTAAGCATGCAGTGATGAAAAATGTGCACGTTAACTTTATAATGTCCAAAATCCATCAAGACTGGAGAGCTTTTTGTGTGAACCAACAGAAACAGGTTTAAAGAAATAAAAAAAGTTGAACTTCTTTTTAACAAAAGTGCTCCATCAGAACAGACTATCATTTGTAACAGTCACGTTTAGCAAAGCTGTCCATTTTTCTGTATTATTTGGACTAAAACCCTAAAATTTTGTATTAATAAATCTGGAATATAATTTAGGTCAAGAGGAGAGTGTGTTGCTTTATCACATGGCACCATTAACCCTTTGTTTTAATTTATTTGAGTCCTGTCTAAGAGTTCTGTCTTCGTGCTTTATGTGGGGTCCAAAAGTTGCACGGAGACCTTTAACTGCTCACCCAGGGAAAGGCTGTCAACATTATCCCCAGCTTCAATAAACTTTTCTTCTGCAGCTCTTTTATGTGCCCTCTTTGACCAAAAAGATCATCTTATATAAGCAAACCGAGTAACTAGACCTTGTGATGATAGACAAGGAATAAACAGAAATGATTATGAATAGGAAAGCCCTTAGATGACAACTGCTCAAAAATAACCAACTATAGAATGGACATTATTTACACTGTTTAATTATTTAACATTACAAGATATTAAAGGGGGAGGATAACAAAGTAAAATGTCATTTGCGTTCAAGTAAATGGAATAAAAAGACGCAGAGTAGTTAAAGATGAGCCTAATAAACCAGTATACACACACGATAGATCTCCGGGGAGGAAGATAATGATGTTTCCTTTGCACAATCACCATTAAGTCACTTTTCATCACGACTAATCCCTGACTGTGTGACCAGACTGCTTAATGTCTGTTCGTGCACAAACCGTTCCCACTCTCCCCCACCTTCTCGGCGCTTCCCAACGCTCAGCATCCCCCCAGTAGCGGACTCAAGGACTTGCGCGACCACCTCGACGCGCCAATAGAAGCCCCCACGGATCCCGGACCGTACAGCGCACCGGGCAACTTCCACTTGCACCATTACGCATGGCTGTGCCTTTGCGCAAAAGCGCGATCGTCAGAGCGCCGCGGAGGGAACTGATGGGATTCTGAGACGCAGAAACGCAGCATCTCTACAAAAGAGCCCTTTTCATGAGAGAAAAAACAAGTCTTTGTGCCAATGAGGATTTCCAAATGCACAACGGGATATCCTTTGCTTACCCTGTGAATATCCCGCTGTAGGTGAAGTAGCTCCGACGCATACGCAGAAATTCTGACGGACATGGATCTGTGGGGAGTTCATCTGTTATTGCTCATAACTTTTGGTAAGCAATAACATATTTTATTTGACTCAATGGATGCGAAGTTACCTATAAGTAGGGGCAAATTTGGCTAAAAGAACCTGCTTCATTCGGGTGTGACAAAAAATAATCTCCGGGTTTCTGCATAAAACTGTAATTGTTGCTGCTTTTAAATGAAATGTAAAAAAAAAAAAAAAAAAAGCACGATATGTGGATAATGGGTGATATGTGCACATAAAGTAGTTTCCTCTTTATAAGCATGTGCCAAAATGTGCGTGCTTGCTGTTGGGCATCTGTGCGCAGGCATGCTGAGTGTGGATAGGCTATTTATTTCCACTGAAGTGAATTACCTGCTCTGTTTAAAAAAAAAAAAAAAAAAAAAATGCGTGATATAAATACACTTCATCTGTTCTTTTACACCCACACTGAATATCAGGTGTGCAGGCTTCTATATAAAGTTTTATGGTGGAACTGTTTTATTGTTTAATCCTTCTCGAGGACCACTGGCAGCAGAACATCACTCATCACCGAGCTACTTGCTCTCTGTGTAACTGAATGAAGCTGGAATATTGATTTTTGTGGCAACAACACACAGACTTTGAGGACAGTGAAGGCATGTTGTTTTTTTCTTCCTGCTAGATAAATGTGTCCATTCTGATCCTGATGTCTGGCTGAAAACTTATGTGATTACATCCACTGATGGCCGCAGCATCAGCACAGTTTCTTCCTCTTTCCCTGCTGGCACTGACTTTCCTGCTTAACAAAGACAGTAAATATATCACAGCATATCTTAACTCTGGTATCAATTATTAATATGCTATCCCCTTTTAAACGTCATTCATTAAAGACATGAAGGGGAATGCCAGGAAGACATACTGAATGGAAGAGGTTTGCTACTTGAGTGGCCTTTTCTCTGTTTGTTGAACTTAACTAAAATCATGTTTTTTTAATGGTTTGGTTGGTAATTTATTAGAAAATAAGACAGAGGTGTTGATGTTCTCCAGCCAGATGGTTAAACAAGATAACACTTTTACATTTTTTTATGAAAACCTTTAGATTCGTGATGACTTTTAGAGGGAATGTGATAAAAACACTTAGGGCTGCTATTGTTGAAGCTGCCAGCTTTTGCTTGTTTCTCCATTTGTTTAAACTTATTACCAAAATGATCAAAGTGAGAAAAGGTTAGCCAGCTCAATCTGTTTGGATGACTCAACTCATTCTGAGCAGCTTCTGTAACATTCAAAGCTTATGTGGACAGAAAAAAAAAACACACACACAAAAAAACCACTTTCTCCACCTCTTCTAAGATACCTGCAAGCAACAGCAGAACGACCACAATTTTCCAGAAGAAGCTCTTGCTGGAAATGAGGGCCATTAAATGCTGGCGTTCTCGGGTTGCTTTTTGTTGCCTCTTTTTGTGTGAGATGTGGTGGGTGGTGGGGGAAATCAGGAGACAACTGTGAAAGATTCTTGTGTGCTCACAAATAAAAGCACAGCGAGATAGAGCCAGATGATGCTCAGGCTTTTTCGAAAAGGAAAAACCTCGTTTTAGGAGAAAAAGAGAAATTTTGAGGTTTGGCAATTGTTGTGGAAGTGAGCACAAAGAGTGGATTTTATGAGAGCAATTTTAATATTCAAAAGATTATTGTTTTCTATCCAAGTACATTATCCCAAAAATATACAGTAGTCCCTTGTCTATTGCAGAAGTTATGTTCCAGACCCCCCTGCAATAAGTGAAAAACTGCAAAGTAGGAACACTATATGTATTTTGTATTTATATACATTTTAAGGCTTTATAAACCCTTCCCACATTCTTGCAACGTTCTAAACTCTTAAACCTATGTAATTTTTAACAACATACATATATGTACTGCACAGTTAGCTACTGTAAAATTGCTCACCAGCCTCGGTCTGGTTCTGATGGGCTCTCTGCAGCTGTTGAGCACCAAGATGCTTTTGGATAGAGCCAGACCGTCAGATAGCCAGCACAAACCACACGATGTTCCCAATCGAGTCCAAATAATCCAGAAGGACCTGAATGAAAAAAGTCCAGGTGAGGTCCGGAGAAGACGCAGGAAATCCAAGCAACGCCTCCCCGCTCGAGAGGCCTCATGGACGGGCAAGCAGCCCTCAGATTGATCAATAAGGCTGGAAGTAGTTCTGGTCCGGTTCTGGTTTGGTTCTGATCTCTGGATCCACTGAGCGTCAAAGTCACTATGGATAAGGACCAAACTTTTTCGGATCTGATCAAAACTTTCCCTTCAATTCAACAGAAAGCAGTGGCCAGAAGCACTGTTGGCTTCTGGGTAATGTAGTTCTTTTGACTGGCGATGCAGTGTAAGTTTATTGAGAGAAAACTTCAAAATGGCGGTGCCTGTCTGAAGTATTTTTTTCATTAACTTTGTACTGTATACTGTACTGTCCCGATCACGTGACTAATATAACGTGTGTACAATAGTAAAATGTTTTTATTTATTTATTTGTTTGTCATGTACAATATTACTTTGAAAAACCGTGAAAGAGCGAGTCTGCAAAAGTCAAACTACGAAGTAGCGAGGGACTGCTGTAGTTATAAATCTCTCGTAGACTTCTTCGACTCGGTGATGTATTGTTTTGGATGAGCATTTGCATTCATTACCATCTGTCTGTACCGTACAACTTGCAGCTCCAGTCTTGGTTTGACAAGCAGCTGTTTTCTCCACGTTGGTGTGAACACGCAGGTTAATCTGAGCTCAGGAACCTTGAGCTGCTCAGTTCAAGCCTGTCGGTCCTGAGGAGGAGATTAAAGGTTGTGTAAAAACGCTGCAGGTTCATTTTGGGTCAGTGTTGGCATCACAGTTGAGAAGGGAATAGCTGAGTGTCCATGCTTTGATAATATCTGCATGATAAATGTACACTGGGACTCCTTTTGACAGATCCACACTGAAACTCAAAATTATGTAATTAAGCTCGACGGTCCAAGTTAGATCTTTTTAAAAGCATTTTTCCTGCAGCATCGACTTAAAATGGCAGCATGAGCACTGCAGTCACAGCTCAAGCATCTCATATCAAGGTAGCAGGCCCAATATTAAGGTGAAGTGAATGCTTTTTAGAATAATAATAAAATGTGAGAGCATAAGAAAAACTCTCAAGTGGCACTTGCTTCACAAAACCCACTAGGAGCTGCCTTAAAGCATTTATTGTAGCTTTGTCTTTCATTACTCCTCATACAATTAACATTTTCCTTTTTTTTTTCATTAAACCACATGATATTTGGTTCTCAAGGTATCTTAAGAGCCTGTTTTTAATTATTATTTTTCTGACATAGATGATTTTTAAAATCTTTTGCCTTCCTGTGCCATCCTCTGATGTAATGTTATTTACGTTGGTGGATGGCTCGCATCCTTAAAAGATAAACATTTTTAAGCGCGTTATTTCGTAACAAACCTGCTGGGCTCTTGCACGGGGATTTGGTTCTAATCTCATTGTAAATATGTATTTGTCTACTCATAAACAGCCAAGCATGCTCGCATGTCTTCTTCACGTAGGACGGATGGTGCGGAGGAGATGGTGCTGGTGTGGAGAGCATCTGCTGAGACATTTTTACCACTCAAAGAAAAATAAAACCTCTACATTTGACTCAAGATGTATTTTATTCTTTGGATTTATTGGTCAAGTTCAAACTCAGCTCACGTTAATGCTAAAATATTGAATATGTAGGCCTGTGGTGACTATTTTTATTTTGGCATTAGTCTTGTCTTGTCTTCAGCCAGGCCTTTGATATCAGTATTCGTGCTGTGTCAGCATCTCTTCAATGGTTTCCTGTCATCTGAACTTCTTCACTTTTTTTTTAATTCTAGATCTCTAAGGCCTTTTTAAAGTCCCACATTCTAGATTAATTAGTGTGGAAGCTTGTGTCTGCTGCAGCAGCACTGTGGACCAGACATAGGTGTCACAAAAATTATATGCGAAGGGGACATGTCCCCCTCACATTTAAAAAAATATTAATTTGATACCCCCCCCACCACCACACACAAACACACACATATATACCATGAAATATTAATTCACCCTGCCCTGTTTCTATTTCTTTGTGAACAATTCCATTCCACTTGATTTAATAGGAGAATACTCAAACAACTTAAAGTCCACTCCGGGTTTTCCTGGTTACCACAACAACTCACCACACCACATGAAGTGTTTCCCTGAGGTCACCTGACTTGGCAGGATGCTCATCTTTGAGGGCTTTTTGTGGACGGGGCAGGGGGAGGAGGGGGAGACATCTCTTGTTTTGTACACTAGCTTAACACCACATTAGTGCTGGTAACTATTGACCGGGGTGGTGGGAGGTTAGGGTGCGTGAAAGAAGTGGACTATGTCTGTAGTTTCTTAGCAATTGCATCTGTATTGCACACCATTAGCTTAGTGCTACGTTAGGACCGACAGTTGTATGTTGACCAAGGAGGGGGGAGGTTAGGATGCATGAGAGAAATGGAGCTTGCTCTATTCACACAAGGAGAGCTGTTGGTCAGGCTCCTTCTTGTTGCTCTCTAAACCAGTTATTGAATTAAATGTTTACATATGTAAACATAGATGTTTAACAATCTGTCAAAATACACCAGAATGCAGAACATGACATCTGTTTTATTCAAAATTTTTCTCAAAAATGTTCCCCAGACCCCCACCAATATGTCCCCGCTACATCACAAATGCTTCTGACGCTAATGGGAACAGCCTTCCATCAAGTATGGCAAAAACGTATATATTTTTTGGCTTTTAATTGAAACAAAAAATGCTTTGGGTTTGATTTCATGTTTTGTTTTAATTAGTTTTTTTTTTATTTTAATATTTGTGATTTTGGTATTGCAAGCACTTTGGTCAACTCTGGTTATAAAAAACAAAACAAAACAAAACAACCTTTCAATGGAGTCATTGCATTGAATGGTAATTATGTTTGCCATTATCCACAACATCTATGGAATCATATGCTCTTTTAAAGAAATCACTTTGTGACCTTATCAAAAATAAATGCCATAACTCACTTT